GTCTCTGTGAATTTAAATCTAGAAGCCTCTACGTGAACACACCTGCCCGAATAAAGTGCGGGGGACGAAATTATATTTCTTTCAAATTAAATATTAAAAATGCAGCTACCGTTCTACACACAGCAATATAAACAATGGTGCCTGTTCTCTTTCGTGCTTGCTGTTTGATTGGGAAAAGTTTTTTTGTTTGAGTATCGATACTTCAGTATCAGTATCGATATATCGATACTTTGGATCGATACGCCCATCCCTATATCACTTCTCCTCATTTTGGATACGAATAAAACGTCAGCTCATGCATAGACTATCGATACTGTCTCTTTGAATTTAAATCTAGAATCCTCTACGTGAACACACCTGCCCGAATAAAGTGCGGGTGACGAAATTACATTTCTTTAAAATTAAATATTAAAAATGCAGCTAGCGTTCTACACACAGCAATATAAACAAAGGTGCCTGTTCTCTTTCGTTCTTTCTGTTTGATTGGGAAAAGTTTATATAACAGTAGTAAACTTTGAGTACACAACTAGTTTACATCAAAATGTTTAGTTTGTACTGCAACTATACTAAAAGTTAACTTATAGGTATACTGATAGTTTACTAATACTTGTAGTAGCATTTTTAGTACACTTTGAAGTATAGTCTCAGTAAACTACTAGTTTAGTAGTTTTATACTGCAAGTATACTCGTAAGTTTTCTTTAAGTGAACTTTACATCATACTTTAAGTAGAACTGCTGTGGGAAAACATAATTCCTCCTCACTGCAAATCTCTTATCCTCTCAGCACAAAACTTTGTCTTTGATGAATTATGATCTGTTTTCAAGAGCACAGCTAATAAAACAAGGACGTGACCTCAACAGAGGACTATTCACAATGACCCTGGCCCCTTCCACCCAGAGAGTGTAGGGTTTTTTTTTTTTTATGTTAACTATGCTTTGCTATTTTACTGCACAGATTCGTTACACACATTAATCTGCTCATTGCTTAATCTTCTAATAAACTGTGTAAAAAGTAATGGTTACACTGACCTCTACTGACAGCTAAAGAGAAACAACCGTTTAGTTCCCAATGCACACTGAAAAAAAATGTAGGATTTACTTTCCATTAATTTTCACTCAGAAATTTCTAGTGAATTTTACAAATAATTAAAAGGGTAAGTAACACATTGAGTTAAACATGACATTTATAAGCAGAAAAACTGAGTAATTTTTTTTCTTGTAAAACATTAAGTTTTAATAAGAAAAAATGCATTTTTTTTTTACAGTGAAGCAGATTAAGCACAGTGATATAGCTCTCACAAATATCTTACAGTAAAACATAAAGATATATAAACACTGCTTTCAATAAAATAATAATAATAATAATAATAATTAAATCTTCCCAGGAATTTCCCATGGGCTTCACAGGGCATGCGTTCTTAATTTTACATTTGATGCAGGTTTCAGACACCTATTAAATAATAAGCCTGTGTTATTTTATACTGCACTCTGTTGGTATGCAATATTTGGAGAGAAATTTTTAGAGAAAAGCACATATAGAGTGAAATGAGAGAAAAAAATTAGACTACAGGAGAAAAAATATATAGCTGTTCATGTAAGAAAGCTCTAACATTTACACATTTATCTCCCAGGTGGGCTACAAATATAAAACGCCCGCAGCTGAAAAGTCCAACATGAATTTCCATGCTGGTTTGGTGCTGGTGGACCAGTCAAGTGGTTCATGAACAACAACAAAAAAACGTTCTAGTTATATTGGCAACAGCAAGGGATGGGTTTGATCCAAAGGGAATGTATAAACTAATACAAAATAGGCTGTAGTCAAAACAAATACAATTTATTTATTTTTTTTACTAAATACTTGAGGCAACGAGTGTCTGAACTACATTGAATTTTGTCTTAAATGGTTGTTGTTTAGTGGTACTTTCGATGATTAAATGCGTGTATGGGCGCTTAGCGCGCCATGAGAATAGGCGGCAGTACTGAGTCTTTCACTGACGTTGTATTCAAATGATAACCGTCGAGAGACGATTCTTGTTCCGGGTTGTGCTGTTTTGTTATGCTAAGTGAAAAACAGGTTTAAGAGCGTCACGTTATAAATACATGTGTCTTCTGGTTTAGGAAACAAGAGTGGGAAAATATCAGGACGCGATGCAAAGACCACAGTTTCGCCATCCCCGCCAGGGCTCTGGTCCGCGGGCCGCAGGCTTCCGCAGCCCGCCTCCAGCTTTCGACAGGACAGGGAGTATGTTTCCATCGCCTCCGTGGGCATTTTCAACCCCACCGCCGCCGTTTGGACCTAGATTTGGACAGTGTTCTCCCAATACCCCACCGAGAGAGTTTGGTGGTAATAGAGGCGGCGGCGGTGGGAAATATTTTGACGGTCAGTCTCCGGGTCACACACCGCGCAGATCGAGCCCCAGTCCCCGCGGCGCACCGTTCAGACGCTCGCCGTATGAGAGTCCCGGACGACACTCTGGATATCAGGTAGTTCACTAGCGTTCCAGGGCAAAATTAAAATACTAATGCGCAATTTGAGCTTTTAAACAGTTTTATGTTCTGTAATTTCGCTTCTTTGCAGTATTTTGCTGCTCTAATCCGAATTAATTTCTGCGATTTACGTGCGTTTGTTTTGTTGTTGTTGGTTAGGACACTATTGTCTCTGAGTAAGTTTGGTCGTTTTAACGTCTTTCTGCATGACAATTTTCTCCTTAAGGGTTCACCACGGACATCCACTCCGTTTGGGTCAACGCATGGCAGGGAGAGAGGGACAAATGATATGGAAAAATATTACAAACCGTCAATGCTCCAAGATCCCTGGGCTGACCTACAGCCCATCTCAGTTACACAAGCTCAGTCTAAATGCAACTCCAAACAAACCAATACAAGCAGACAAGGGAGGTACTACAATTAAAACTTTATCTAACTTCAGTGAAAGGGAAAAGTCAATGAACAGTCCTTTTTATTTAGTGCACCAGTAGTGCACTAAATTTTTAAAGTCAAACGGAGCCAGCCGAACACAATGGACCTGAGGCAGGATTCACCAGCAATAATTCTTGAGAAACTGACTCCACAACATTTTTTTTAAATCGTATGTACTTGCTTGTATAAAGAGACACTCTCTTTTACTGTCATATCTGCACCTCAACGACAGGATCATAAAAATGGGGTGCTATTGTAACTGGCAGCCAAAGTAGTTTGCCATCTCAGGCCCACTCCCAAGACGAGTTTGCGAATCCTTCACTGAATTCAGGGGAATATGTCTTCAAGCTCAAAATGCAGTCTAACAAAAGATGTCTGATCAACACATCCATCTACCTCTCAATATTGACTATGTGATGTTAACTAGAACAGGTCAGGTCAAGTATTTGTAGGTTTGGCTGCTTAACTAATTTTCTATGGACTTTTTTTTTTTTTGGTGACTTTTTTTGGTTTTATCAGTCTATGATCTTTTCTTTTTTGTATAAATAAAAAACATGGACTGGCAACAGACATTGTAATCATAAACGGCCCACAAAGAACTATTGTTGAATAATAAGCCAAATATAATTTAAAGTTGAAATGCAATACAGTCCTTGTCAAAAACCATTTCAAGTTGAAATCTGTTACGCTTTATTTACTAAAAACATGTTTAATATCTTCAAAATTAATCTCACCATGGATAATGTAGATAAAACACCGTAACATTACTACACATCTCTGCAAGCTGTAATTCAGTCTTTTTTTGTATGTATTATGTTTTTGCTGTACAATATACCATATAAATCTCATATTGGAGGTCTACAAAAATAGATTTTATTAATGTAACAGAAACATAACATTTTATAAGTTCAGTATGCCTAAATGTTTGTATTTCATTTTCATTCTACATTCACCATAATTACTGTTGTAATATTACATGACATCAGTGCTGTCTTTTTTTCTGTCTTGGTTGTCAGCTAGTTCGAGAATGCTTATAACTTGGCCTTACCCTTTTTTCAATTCAAATTTCTGCATGTTCAGCGTTTTGCCACGAGACACCCAACATATAGAATGAAGGTGTATCTAAGTGTATAAGAAAGCCTCAAACAATAGAGGCTTATATTAAAATTGTCATGTATTGTAAACTTTTTTTTGCGTTCTAAGACAGTCACTCTTTAAAAGTAATGATGGGTCTCTTGAGGCATCAGCTGTTGATATGTCAGCATCATTGCCACATAGCACGCTTACCACACAAACAGACCAATCAAGAGCTTGTTGAGGAATAGTAACCCACTATGACTGATTAAACAGGGAAAGAAAAACTTGCATATGCCACAGTGCACACAAAGATTTGGGTAAAGACAGTGGCAGAGTTAGCATTTAAAAGAAACTAGTTTTAGCTGCAAAAGAATACAAAACAGTAATGTGGAAATAAACTGTCAACCTCACATGTATTTACACATGGATGTGCTTATTCAAAACCATTCATCAAAGGGTAACGATTCTTTTTTTTACTCCAGCCAGCAGGACCAGGTGTCTGAAATGCAGATTGTGTCCAGCCCTTAGTGTTTCTTAGTTTTAGTATGAGCGAGTATGATTTCACAATATTCTCTTCCCCTTAAAAGAACAAAATTCAGAAAATTTTAATTTACAGTAGAAAATGTATAAAGGATAAACGTAGCAAGAAATATTCAGTTGCATACAAGTTATGATAAAGTACACAATTCAGTCTGTGTAATAAAACATTCCAACCTGTTTTCACAGTAAAGTCAACTCAAGCTAGATGACGCTCTCATTTCTAAATTGTAAAATCTGTGTTATTTGGGACCCCTAGATAGCACAAAACAAACCTCTAAATCTGGTGCCACACACACAGGGATGAGTGAATAAGCCCTTTTGACTACAAATATTTGTTGTATATGTGTTTAAAGGAGAGATTGGGAACGAGTTTGGTGCACTATTAGACTTAGGATATTAAAATGAAATAATGGACAGTGCCAACTTTTCTGAAATGCATGGGCTTTTACATTTTAAACTTTGAATTCAAAGAAAGGTTTTGGTAAAAAGCCAATTAATAAATTCCATTGATTCCTGAATTTATTAGGCTAGATATTTTTAATAATTTGTATATTTGCTTGGGAAATATGTAGCATTGCCTATGTTAGGCAAAGATATATAGCTATAATTTTCTTTTTGAAAATTACCTAAAAGCATTTATGCGGCTTAACACCCGACATTTTTGTATACTCTAATATTAAGGCTTTACTTTAAGAAGTAAAACAGAACAGGAGGTTTAAATCCTCAAAACACACCGTGAACTTGCTAACAAATAGTTCAGAGTAGTATTATTTTTCCTACAGTGTTAGTGTTTAGCACTCAATGTACTCACATTCAACTAAAAGCAACTAAAGTGAACAGAATCTAGTTACAAGTTAAAATGATTATAGTAGTTATGGTGTGCTTGAGCGGAGAAATGTTCTTATCTGATATGTAAGACCTTTGATACCTTTTGTCATTTTAATGCATATCTGATGTTCTGCACTTTTATACCCATTGAGAAACAACAACGAGAAACACACAGGCTGTAGCCTATGATCTCCAACATTTTTGCCTGGAGTGTTATGAAACCTGATGGATTTTTTTGGAAGCAGTGGAAGGGTAGAGAAGAGATGTTAGCGTTATAGTGTGACCCAGTCATTATAAAATGCAACATCTTTCTCGAATTCTCTTTGCCAAACTTTTCCTCTTCTTTTTCCCATTTTTCTCTTTGCCATCTTCCATTTTTCTGGCTCTGATTTCACGCATGAGATCAAAAAACACCTGGAGAGATTACAAAGGTTGTATGAATGTATCATTAGTTCTGCTAATACTGATTCATTGTGCTTAGTGAAGGGATAGTTCACCCAAAAATGAAAATTTGTCATCGTTTACTCACACTCAGGTCATCCAAACCTGTATAACTGACAGGCTTTCTTCTGTGAAGCACAAAAGATATTTTGAAGAATGTTTGTGTCTAAAAGTCAGTGGGGGCCAAATTTTTTAAGAGATACGGTGCAGTCAAACCACTTATTACACAACATTTCACCACATAAATAATTAAGGTGATAAAATATATTGATTTAAGACGAAAATGTTTTAAAACCTTACCAGTTTGTTAGTTATCTTATAATCCATTACTGTATACAGAACAATGGCAGCAGCTGCGTTTGTATGAAACGAGAGAGCGAGTCCGCGATACCAGGATGACATAAATTAAATAATTGTACACATAATATTGAATTGAGTTTTAATTAGGGCTGTCAACGTTAACGCGTGCGATTAATTTTACAATCCTTAATGCGTTAAAATAATTTAATGCAATTAAAGCTAAATTGCTGGATATAGCAAATGATAACAAAATAAACATTTGAAACAAGATAAATGGTCTATGCTTAATTTCATGAAGTGTGCAATTAATCGCGATTAATCACAGAAAAATTGTGTGATTAGATTAAAAATTAAAACTTTTTTTTTAGATTTTTTTTAGTTTGAACATTCTTCAAAATATCATCTTTTAAATTACACAGAAGAAAATGTCATACAGGCTTGAAACAACATGTAGGTGAATAAATGACAATTTTCATTTTTGGGTGAACTATCCCATAAAGTATTAGATGTAATGGTTGCCAAACCAGTTTTTGTAAGGCCTACCTTATCTACGTTGGCACGGGTTTTGGCAGAAGTCTCGACGTAGCTGACTGCCCACTGATCTGCTCTGGCCTTGGCCTCCTCCACTCCGACTTGCCTTCGGTCCTCCAAGTCTGACTTATTTCCCACCAGCAGGAAAGGTACGTTCTCCTCCTCCTTCACCCGAAGGATCTGTTCTCTAAAGTTCAGAGGTAAAATGAGAAAACTCCGGATGTTTTTCTGCATGAACATGATAATTAGCCAAGCTTTTGTCTTATACTGTGCAAGACCAGTATTGTGTTAATCACCAGTTTCAAAGTCATCTCTCTACCTGAAATCAGCAGTAGCAGCAAAGGATTCAGATTCTGTGATGGAGAACACGCAGAGAAATCCCTCTCCACTGCGGAAGTAGTTGTCCCGAATGGCAGCGTAGTCCTCCTGTCCTGCTGTGTCGAGGATGTCGATCTGGACCTCCTCTCCATCCAGAACCACCTTTTTTCTGTAGCTGTCAGCTTTGGTGGGCTCATAGTCTTCCACAAACTTGAAAGAGATCAGCATAATTATACTTCGTGGTTAACCTCAATTTACACATGATGTGAAATTCCTAAATATGAAGTCTTACCTCATCATACATGAATTGCAGCGTTAGTGCTGACTTGCCCACGCCACCGCTGCCCACCATTATCACTTTGTGAAGGGCCAAAGCGTTCCTGTTAGCAGCCATGGCTTCAGGCAATGAGAGATGGGTGGCAGTGCAGTGAAGTGAAAAATCAGAGGTAGATGGGTATTAAGGGAACCCTGTAAGGAAGAACTTTGAGAAGAGCAGAGCAGATGGTTGTTTTAATTGTATAAGACTGGTGTTTTATGTACAGCAGCAACTCTTTTAGTCATACAGGAACAATTACCATCATTCATTACTAATATACCTGCACCCTTTCAAGTGAGTCAAACATGTTTGGGGTGTTACTTATGAATAATCAGCTTTGTCTTGTTCCCAACATTCACCCTGCTTATGAGGATGATAACACAGGCCTACTTTCTTCTCGGTCCCCTGAGAAAATGCTAAAACAATGAGGCTTCTCATGAAAGCTAGCACAGCATTTGTCGGTTCCCTTCCTAACTGACACTGACATCATTGCTCACTAGAATGAAGCAAAAACACAAACTCATCAATTCTCCTAAAGAACTGTTGACGGTTTGCCCAAAAATGTAAGTTCTGTCATCATTTACTCACCCTCATGTCGTACCTGTATGACTTTATTCTGTGGAACATGAAAGAATCTATTTTGAAGAATGTTGATAGCCAAACAGTTTTGGTGACCATTTAATTCCATTGAATGGACAAACAATCACTGGGACATTTCTCCAAATATCATTTTTTATGTTCCACAGAAGAATAAAGTCATACAGGTTGGGAATCACATAGTGAGTAAATGATGACAGAATAAAAATTTTTCGGGAGAACACCCCTTTAAATCTTCCTATCAAATGTAATCCATGTGGAATCAATGGATTACATATAGCCAAATAAATCACTTAGAGATAATCCTCAATATCAGGCAACTGTCCAGATTGTGTGAGACTATAGGTCATAGGTGTAATCCGATTGTATGTAATAAGTATATACAAAAAAAAACTCAAATCATGGGCGGAGTCACTACACAATAATATAGGATTACTGTTGACTCAATTGCAGACTGCTAACAACAGCAGTTGTATTAGGTTTACTCGGTTTACACAGCTCTTCTGTGGTGTATACAGAGAGGGTGTGGCTACGTTCTGCAGTATCGTTGACTGCTTCCACATGATTAACGCCACATTAACAAGCTGCTTGCAAGCTTGTGCAAAGAGTCAGAAAAAAAAAAATGGAAATAGAAAATTAACAATCACTGGGACATTTCTCCAAATATCATTTTTTATGTTCCACAGAAGAATAAAGTCATACAGGTTGGGAATCACATAGTGAGTAAATGATGACAGAATTAAAATTTTTCGGGAGAACACCCCTTTAAATCTTCCTATCAAATGTAATCCATGTGGAATCAATGGATTACATATAGCCAAATAAATCACTTAGAGATAATCCTCAATATCAGGCAACTGTCCAGATTGTGTGAGACTATAGGTCATAGGTGTAATCCGATTGTATGTAATAAGTATATACAAAAAAAAACTCAAATCATGGGCGGAGTCACTACACAATAATAT